CATCACAGCTCACAGCAACCTCCAACTCCTGGGCTCGGGTGATTCCCCTGCCTCAGCCTCCCAAGTAGCTGGGACTACATGCGCCTGCCACAACACCTGGTATTTTTTGTTGTTGTTGCAGTTTGGCCGGGACCGGGTTTGAACCCACAACCCTCGGTATATGGGGCCGGCGCCCTACCCACTAAGCCACAGGCGCCACCCACTTGATGCAATTTTGAGCTATCCTTTTGGACCCTGTAGATTCTAGAGAGATCAAAGATAAATTAGGCTCCCCCCCTCAAAAAAAAATGCTTCGCTGATTAGTTTTTTTTTTTTTTTCACATCAAAACAACTGGGAAAGAATCTGTCCTCCCTCGCACTGCTTCATAGAACCCCTCCTGCCTTTCCCCTTTTCTAGCACTTCGCATTGATGTCCTCCTCTTTTCATCTGCTAACCCAGCTGCGCTTCAGTCTTAAGGATCTCTTTCTTCCCTGGCCCTCTTTAGCGGGCTTCCTGTGTGTTCCGGGCACAGTGCCTAGGTTCAGGAATATTCCTGCGTCAAAAGCAAAATTAAACTCCTCTAGCGAACAGAAGGTGGTCTGACAACAGATGTTCAGCCAAATTTATTAATTGGTACTCGCTATAAATGTTACTTTTCACAATACTACCAAGGCATATCTTAGAGTTGGATTGGGTTCCAAATTCAGCACCAGAACGAAAATCGCATTACTCACCACCCTTCAGCATCCCCAGCAGTGTGGAGGGGGACGGGAAGTGGAAATGTATACAACTTTGTAGTAACCCTATGCTGTTAAAAACCGCCTGGCTGAACCTAAAAAGAATGAAAATGGGTGTAGATCTTTGGGTATCGGAACCATACTGCCTTCGAGAACACAAGCTCCCCAATACTGAACTGACTTCTGCCTTCTTAGCCGCAGCAGCCTGTTGTTACAGTATTCATTTCAGTGAGCATTAAAGGAGTGAGTGGCACCACACCTTGCCTGGGGGCAAGTGGTGAAGCGACGCGCTTCCAGAGTCAGCAAGGGTGCAGATCATTGTATGCCAGCCCCGCTCGCCTGAGACACGCGGAATCCGTCCCGGGCGTGGACGACATTCCTCCCAGGCTCCAGTGGCCCCCGGCGTCTCAAGCCCCTGGCGGTGACTGCACCCAGCCCTTCTGCAACCTGGCCACGCTGCCCGACGAAACCCCGCCCCGAGAAAAGCCGCTCCGCCACCTAACCCGTCACTCACGCGGGCTGCCCAATGGTGGCGGGCGGGGCGGGCCGGCACGGGGCGGGGCCGGTGTGCCGTACGCCGTGCGCCGGAGCTTGTGGCGTCAATGCGCCAGCCGTGTCCATGGAGAGAGGTTGAGGTTGCCGAGCTCCGGCCCGAGGCACCTGGGCGCCGGAGTGGCGAAGATGTCGGCTTCCTTAGTCCGGGCCACTGTCCGGGCTGTGAGCAAGCGGAAGCTGCAGCCCACCCGGGCCGCTCTCACACTGGTAAGTGCCTGTGGCGTTCGGCCAGGCCTGTGACTTTGTAGGTCACGGCGACTGGATTCGGGGCCACAAGGGTCAGGCATTCGGGTACCGGGGTCGCTCCGCCTCGCCGTCTCTTTCCCTTTTTATCCCCAGATGGAGCAATCAACAAACCCCGGACTGGGTTGCTGAGGGGACCCAGGCGGCCCGGAACTACGTTTCCCAACAGGCCGTGCGGCGGCCGCGTGCAGTGAAAGAGAGGACCGGGAGGCCGGGCGGTGGGTGTCAGCGAGGCAGCCCCCCTCGAGGCAGTGAGCCTCGAGCCTCCTCCCAGCAGAAGCTGTGGGGTAGCTCCAGTGGCTTGCAGATTGAGACATTTCAGGGCTGGGAATATCTGGATGACCCAGGAACCCTCCCCTCTAGATGCGTGGGGAGGGACGAAGCTCTCCGAAGGACAACAATGTCAGTGCGGTGAGCGTCAGCGGAGAAGGGAGCACAGCGGTAACAAAGCACCCGGCCCTTACCAAGCTCCAGGCTGCGGCGTACAAAACGTTACTCCCCTTGACCTGGGTGGCGGAGGTTTTTGAAACAACCTTTGTGCCTCCAGCAATCCTTGGGTCGTGCAGAGGACAAAAGACAAGATTTCCACCCTGAGTGAATTTGTTCTATTTTCTGGGTAAAAGGTCAAACATACTCAAAGGGGCAGCACAGTATAAATCACAGATGCTTGAATTAATCGTGCTTACTGTATACTGCACTGTGCAGTTTTTTGGTTAAAAGAACATCTACATAATACAAAATTGGCCATCGTAATGGATTTAGTGGCTTTTAGGACGTTCACAGTGTTGTGCAACTGTCATCTCTAATTCCAAAAGACTTTCACCTCAATAGGAAAATTTAGGATCAGTTCAATTCTTTTCACACACACCCCAGTCTTAGTTAAGAAGGCTTCTTGTGGGATCATTCACCAAGAGAGAGGAAAAAAATGATTTAAACTGATTAATGGGATCTATTTCATTAGGGCCTATTGCCAGAATATTAGTTGTGGCAAAAAAAAAAAAAGTCGTGATTGGAGGGAGAATTTACTTGTATGATAGAGCAGTGTGTTAGGCCTTTGAGATTATTCTGATTTATACATATGGTATGTGCCTTGTGCTAATCAGTACTAGTAGCATACTGATTAGATATCATTACTATATTATTTTTCTTCTGTATTGCAAATACACCATGAAATCTAGAATTGTCCAAGATCTTAAGAATTAGAGCACACCACCCCTCCTTTGCGTCTCTCTCTTTTTTTTTTTTGCCAGGGCTGGGTTTGAACCCACCACCTCTAGCATATGGGACTGGCACCCTACTCCTTTGAGCCACAGGCGTCGCCCCACGTCTCTTTTCAATCACAGTGAAAATTACTCAGAATTCATAATAAGTTTTTCACTGGTAAGGCAAGATCCAGAAAGAGTGGGAAGGTGTGCGGGCTATTTTTTGTCTTTTCTTTCTCTGTCACTGTTTGCCTTGCCTTGTTACCACTTCCTTGAGAATTTGAGTCATCCCCTCTGCATTCCTTCTTGTCAGAAGTTTATCAAGACCTACTGTGTTTTAGGACAAGAAATGAGTTGTACACTTCCCACTCTGCAGGAACACAGATACAGGCCAAGCCACAGGCTTGATCTCTTTCCACGTTTATTCTGTTTTGCTTCAGTACCTGTTAAAGCAGTTCACATGGCTCAGTCAGTGTTGTCTGGCTGAACTGTTCTGATTAACTATTGTCTGAACTCATCTTATTTAATGTTATAGCTAACTTTAGCAGCTCCATTCCCTATGATCTTTCTTAGTACCTGGAAGAAAAAAAATGCATCAATGCTGCTTTCCACCACAGTCTATGTTAGTGGGCTTGCAGTCATTTTAGTCCTAGCATTTGTACCCTAGTCCCAAGATACTGTGGCATGAATTTGTGTATGCTGTTTGTTCTTAGGGGCACCTGGACTTTACTGTGAAGTGCACAAACAGGTGATCCAAGACCTAACGAGTTGACACAGATAAAAGCAAACACAAATAGAGATAATACAGTAAAACTGATGAGAAGAGGTAAATGTTAATTGGATATATAAATTTTGACACCAGGGATAAGACATGGTGCAACATTTGAAAAGATCTGCACCTATAGAGTCAAGCAGAGGTCAATAGAAGGTGAGGAAAAGTAATAGATGACATGAAAACATGATAAAGTGTTGTCAGCACCAAATTATCTGCATTAATTGATGTTAAACCTCAAGAGACTTAATGGTTTGTTGGAGAGAAGGGCTTAGACAAATGAAGACCATGAAACTTCAGGCAAACTAGTGATGATTTCTTGGTGGAAAGCTTCAAGGCTCCAACTCAACACATGAATGGGAGTATCCTTGGACACCTGCAGAGAACATACAAGGATCCCCACCACCACCACCCCTACAATTTCATTACATATCCAGGAATTGACAAGTGGAATTTATGGCAGCCAGAGTAAGATAGGATTTTAAAGCCTGAAGAGTGAAGCCTCCTGGCAGAAATGTTTATTTCCATCATTGTACAAGTCAGGATTAGTGCAATCTTAATTTAGGATTAGTGGTGGGACATAGCCATGTTATTTTTGAATTGTGTACCAAAGCATCCTTGGGTTAATACATTTTTGGTAGGGAAGGGGTGGAGATGGGGTCTTTCTCTGTCTCCTAGACTAGAGTGCAGCCATGTCATTATAACTCACTGCAACCTCAAACTCCTGAGCATGGATGATCCTCCTACGTCACCCTCCTGAGTAACTAGGACTGACTGCAGGTTCATGCCTCCATGTTCAGCTGACTTTTACTGTTTTTGTTTTTGTTTTAGAGAGACATTGTCTTGCTTTGTTGCCCAGGCTGTTAGGGAATTTCTGACCTCAAGCAATCCTGCTTCAGCCTCCTACAGTGCTAGGATTACAGGCATGACACTGCCCACCTAGCTGGCTTGACATTCTAGTGGAATAAGGAGCTGTGTATTAAGTCATTGGACTAGAATCAGAACTTTTAGAATAGTGACCCAACTTCAAGATATGTATGAAGGCATACATATGTGAAGGCAATTTAGGAGATATGTTACACAGGAAGCATTAGAAGTAGCCTAACAGTGAGAGTGGCAGAGAGAAAGAACATTAGACACTTGTTGGGGGAAGTATTGTATATTGTAAATACTGGTATTTTTAAAAAAAGAAAATTTGAATTGTAACTCTTTATTCTTTAATCTTTAATACCTAAAGCACAGAATAGTAATAAAAAGATGAGCCATATAAACCATTAAACCCTGGAGAAGATATTCAGTAAGTGGTGAGTGCATGGCATTTTTATTACCATGTATCAAATGAGAAAAATGAATGTTACAATTTTGTTCATGTTAGTTATATACATGGTCTGACAATTGAGTTCACAAACTTACTCTAGAAGAAATGCTAAGTACCTCATTACTGAACATCCCTACTGTCACCTTCAAAGTACACCCCTTGGGAAGCTATGCGCTGACACTAGTGCCTTCTGTACCCTTCAAAGTAGTTTTTGGACTCTTTCTGGAGTGACCATCAAAGCTCTTGTCATACAGGGCCTCACAATTAAGTTCTCAAACTTGTCACTGTGTACTTACATTGGCAGCACTGTACACCCAACTCAGTAAGGTGTTATAACCTTGCTGTATCAGTGTCTCACAGCTATGTTCGTGTTGACTTAGGTTGGTGTCTTGCTGAGTAGTGTTCATTATTATTACATGTTTTCTGTGTGCTGTACAATAGCTCTGGTCATTCCAGATAGAGTTCCAAAATTGCTTTGAATGGTGGACTAGGTGTTGGTATTGGTGCATGGCTTCCCAAGGGCAGTACTTCAAAGGTTACCATAGAGATATTCAGCAATGAGGTATGTGGCACTTTTTCTAGGATGAGTTCATGACTTGTTAGACCTTGTAAGTATGCATGTGTGTACAAATAGAAAATGCCAAAAACGGAGCACCACCATAATGCCAGCCCATAGCTGTTCAAAAATGGGTTTAAGAAAAATTACTGTACCTTGTCCATTGCCTATGTCTTATTTTTGTTGTTTTGTTTTGTTTTGCTTTGAGACAGAGTCTCACTTTGTTGCCCAGGCTGGAATGAAGTGGTACTGTCACAGCTCACTGTACCTTTGTCCTGCCTCTGCTTCCTCCTGAGTAACTGGGACTATAAGCACCTGCCAGTTGACTGTTTCTTTTTTTTGTTTTTGATAGTCTCATTTTGTCGCCCTCGGTAGGGTACTGTGGCGTCACAGCTCATAGCAACCTCAAATTCTTAGGCTCAGACAATTCTCTTGCCTTAGCCTCTCAAGTAACTGGGACTACAGGCGCCTACCACAACGCCCTACTATTTTAGAGATAGGGTCTGGCTCTTGCTCAGGCTGGTCTGGAGCTTCTGGGTTCAAGCGATCCACTAACCTTGGTCTCTCAGAGTGCTAGTACTGGCCAATTGACTGTTTCTTTGCTGCTTTTTTCCCCAAAAAATTTCATGCTGATTTTTTATTTTTTTAACAGGTAAAAATGAAAATTTCCTGGGGAAATAAGGAAATAAATTATTGAGGATGAAATGGCATTGGATAAAATAAATATGTGTTGCTATGAAGTAGTGAAAATACATGTTCATCTACAGCATTTTCCAGTAATTTTAACAAAAGAAACATCCTGGAAAAAATTTTTTTAAAAATTGGGCCAAAATATCTTAAAGTTAATTTTCTCACTTTAATGATTCATGTTCCCAGGGTCTAACAAAAACAGATTAAAACACATCATATTTCAGTTGGCTTCAAGAATCCCTTACATTTTAAAACATGGGTCAAATTTCAAGTGAGCTGTGGTCATTAATTGCACATAGATTTCTTTTTTTTTTTTTTTTTTGAGACAGAGCCTCAAGCTGTCCCCCTGGGCAGAGTGCCGTGGCATTACAGCTCACAGCAACCTCCAATTCCTGGGCTCAAGCGAGTCTCCTGCCTCCGCCTCCCAAGTAGCTGGGACCACAGGCGCCCGCCACAACGCCGGGCTATTTTTTGGTTGCAGCCGTCATTGTTGTTTGTGGGGTCTGGGCTGGGGATTCGAACCCGCCACCTTAGGTGTACGTGGCTGGTGCCTTAGCCGGTTGAGCCATAGGCGCCGGGCCTGCACATTGATTTCTTGAGAAAGTTTGAGTTTTTAGTTGTTCTAGGGAATGTATTGATACTGGAAAGCTGCTAGGCCCTGCAGCATACTGTTTAGTTGAAGGTGGGTGTATGCTATTTTCCAGATCAAGTTTATCTAAGGGCACAAAGCTGTCAAAATATGGGAATAGAAAAAAGTAGATACAGAAAGTACTTTTTATGTAATATCGAGAATTAAAAAAAAAAAAGAAATCCCAAGTATTCTCTATATGATTAGGCTGACTTTTTCCCTTAGTTGAACACTCATGTAGATTATCTCTCACTAGTAACTCAATATTGTTTACTTTTCACTTGACACAAAAGACACTTTGGTTCCTATAGCAGTAGCATCATAGGCACACAGATTCTTGTTTAACATTACTTTTCTCCTAAGAGCCTTTCATTTTAAGATGTGACATTTGTGCTGAGTAGACCATTGTGAATTGCTTTCATGTACTATGTTTAAGTGTTTTCTTCCAATACTTGGAGAAAGAGAGAAATATATTATTTTGTGAAACTAAATTAGATAATTTAGAAAACCATTGGGAGATAAAAATTCTGGTGCTGGTAAACTGAGTAGTGTGAGAGCTCCATTTGTTTAGATCAGCGGTTCTCAATCTGTGGGTCATGACCCACGGGAACTGTATTAAAGGGCCGCAGCATTAGGAAGGTTGAGAACCCCTGGTTTATATCATGCCATGGTGCATATTTTTAGTAGAGATAGGACCTCATTATGTATGATATTGCTAAGGCTGGTCTCAGACTCCTCTCCTCAAGCAGTCCTGCTTCAACATTCCAAAGTGCTAGGAGCCACCACAAAGGCCTGCTTTGCCTTTTTAAAAAATGTATCAGAAATCTCTTTGTATTTGACAAAATTAATGTATAAGTACATTAATTTCTTCAGCATGCATATTGGAGATTATGATCATGGAAATTTACCAGTGGCAGTTAAGAAAGTTAACTTTTACTGGCACTCATTTAGAAGGCTAAATGAGGCTCGGCGCCTATAGCTCAACCGGCTAAGGCGCCAGCCACGTACACCTAAGGTGGGGGGTTCGAATCCCCAGCCCGGACCCGCCAAACAACAATGACAGCTGCAACCAAAAAATAGCCGGGCGGTGTGGCGGGCGCCTGTGGTCCCAGCTACTTGGGAGGTGGAGGCAGGAGACTCGCTTGAGCCCAGGAGTTGGAGGTTGCTGTGAGCTGTGATGCCACAGCACTCTACCCAGGGGGACAGCTTGAGGCTCTGTCTCAAAAAAAAAAAAAAAAAAGAAGGCTAAATGAGCACTTTTCCTTAAAAATAATTTTTTAAATAAATTAATTCTGTCAGTATTTGAAGTTGGTATTTTGTGATTTTAAAGGGAAAAAAGCACCATAATTCTGCTCTTAACAGATATATATATATCTATACCATATATATATATATATATATTTTTTTTTTTTTTAAATTTTTATTGTAGTTGTTGTTTAGCAGGCCCAGGCTGGGCCCGAACCCACCCACCCCCATGTATGTGGCTGGCTCCATAACCTCTGAGCTATGGCTGCTGAGCCTGTTTTACAGTTTTTAAAAATGCTGGTCTCAACTTTCTATTGGCCATCTATTGGGTTTATACTCCCAGCACAGGCTTTAGTTATGGCTATAGTTTACCAGTAAGTCATAGCTCATAATAATCAGGCTCTGGGACTTCATAAACCAATAAAATGTTAGTACAAAAAACTGGAGGGTTAGCGCAGCATTACCATCTATAGGAGCTAATAAAGTAGGAAGAATGTAATCTGTTCTCTCATCATTGTAATACCAATTGACTTATGTGGAGCTCTTTGTGCTTGGCCCAGCCTTGAATGCTTTTGGGGAATTTGAATATTTAATCCTCACAAGAATCCTGAAGGGATTTTTATCTTCATTGTACCAGTAAGGGACTAAAAGTCACTCACTTAACATGACTGCCCTTGAAGCGCAGCTAGAAAGTGGACCAGGAATATCCTAAAACCGACCGACTGTTTCCAGCAGCTCCTTCCAAGAAACTGGGGTTGGTAACTCCAACCTATATACACACAGAACACTGTGGCCTTTCTCATTTTGAAGCCCCCTGGGCTAGGTTAAACAGCTGTTTCTTGAGAAACAGCTCCTCCCTGTTATTTCTATGGTTGGCTTAGTTCTGCCCATATGAATGTCCTGACATGCTGGTTTAGTCCACATTTAAAAATCTGTGGGACAACTAATATTTATAAACAGAAGTAAAAGATAATTTCAAAAAAAAAAACAGATCATGCCAAATCTTATAGATAATAGAAAAAGAAATACTTCAAAATCATTTTACTTAATCTGAATACACCTGATATTAAAATTGGAGAAAATGTTATTATAAAGGGGAAATTACAAATATATTTCACTTATAAATATTAGTTGTCTATTTTTTTGAGACTTCGAAAAAAACGAAATAAGAAGTTAACTGATCAAAGTATTCTATAATAGACATACTTCAATCTGACAATGTGAATGTTACTTTCTTTGCATTATTACTATTATTATTGCTTAATATTTCATTGCAGCAATTGTCTGATTTCTTTTCTGAATATTTATCTTCATTCATTCTTTATGAGGTTTTTGTTCTCAGTCCTTATGTCAAATATTATTATTGTCATTAAATTTAGCCTTTTTAATTCTGTGAAGACAAAAGTGGAAACCTAATATACATATGTATAAGTAAGAAAAATAAATAAATTAAAAATAAAAATCTGTGGGAGCGTTTGTAGGACTGGCATGAGAAGCATACCCTTGATTAGTTTATGCTGGTAACATTCTTTCCTGGAGCTATACATTTTGATGGATTTGAAATGGATTGTGAGTAAGAAAAATAGCAACAGGATTAATAATCAATAGGAAACACAATGGAAGAAGGTTGGCCTTCCCAGGGAGGCGCTTGATGCTGGGCATACAGTAGGTGCACAAACTAGATGCTAGCCAGAAAAATTACATTTGCGATCTGAGTTGTTAATACCACAGAAAGTATGACAGGGGCTAACCTGGACCAGGAAGCAAGATTAAAAGGATGTTGCTAGCAGATTTTTTTTTTATTTTATTTTATTTATTTTTTTTTTTTTTTGAGATAGAGTCTCTGTCACCCCAAGCTAGAGTGCACGTAGCTCACAGCAACTTCAAATTCTTGGGCTCAAATGATCCTCATGCCTCATACTCCCAAGTAGCAAGGACTACAGGTGCCCCCCACAACACCTGGCTGGTTTATCTATTTTTAGTAGAGATGAGGTCTCTTGCTCAGGATGGTCTGGAACTCCTGAGTTCAAGCAGTCCACCCACCTCAGCCTCCCAAAGTGCTAGGATTACACCACGCCTTTTAAAGCCACCACGCCTAATGCTAGCAGATAAGAGTAAAAATAAAGAAGGTACTTTGGATTGAAAAGAATTTATGCGTTTGTGTATAAAATCCACATGTACTTTGGTAAGAATGAAACATAAATTTGTCTCATGATTTTACTAAAGACAGTCTTGAATAACTTAAAGACTAGTAAATCCTAGGCTTTGAAGAATGTAGGTTTTGTAGCTAAAAACGTAATGTTTTCTTTTTCTCAGACACCTTCTGCAGTGAACAAGATAAAACAACTTCTTAAAGATAAGCCTGAACATGTAAGTAAAAACAGTGAAATAATGAAATGTTGGGAGGGAGGGGGGAGAGGGTGGAGGGAGAGGGATTCGAGGGTTCACTTCTGTGGTTCATCTTGCAAGGGTACAAGTGAATCTTTCTATGAGTAGAATATGAATGTTTCAACATAATAACTAAGAAAGTTACAGGAAGGCTATGTTAACCAGTTTGATGGAAGTGTCTTGGATTGTGTGTGAAAACACCACACTGTACCGCCAAAGTGCATCAATGTACACAGTTACCATTCAATAAAAAAAAAAAAAAAGAAATAATGAAATGTTGAAGTTGTATTTTCAGATGAATTTATCTTGTGATAAACAATATACTTTCATTAGAAGGTTTTATTTAAAAAGTAAAATGGGCTCATGGTTTTAAAAAAACTCAAATAATACTAAAGGATGTTTAATGAAAAGGAAGTCACTCTACCCCAGATACTGCCAAGAAGCAACCTCTTCAGTGTCCATCCAGAGACAGTCTTAACACTTGATGTGGCTAGATCAGGGTTTCTCATCCTCCACACTGTTGATGCTTTAGGCTGGGCTGTATGATGTTTGGTGGCATCTCTGGGCTCTACCCACTAGGTGCCAGTAGCCACTCCTCCAGAATTGTGACAACCAAAAAGGTATCTGGGGGATCTGTTGGCCTGCCTTATACTTGTTAATCTCGTGGGTATCTCTATTTTCTTAAATAGACGAGAGCATACCACATGTGGTGTGGTTACATTTTGCTCTTTGTCCCCAATGATGTAGGTAGAAAATCTTTCCACAGCATTATATAAAGCTGCTTCCCCCGTTTTTATGGCTTCATATATAGTATATTCCATTGAGCAAGTTTGATTTCTTTAGTTCCCAAGATTCAAGGTAGTTGGGTGGTCTTCATTCAGTGTTGATGCAGCCATCAGTCAGCTTCTGTTTATTTTAGCGGCCATAGCGTGCCAGATCCATTGTTCCAGACCTATAAAAATGACTTGGTACACCTATAGAATCTATTTCTGGACATAGAATTGTTGAGTAAGGTCTGTGTATATCACCTTAATCACAGTACTTTTAGAGTATGGAGCTGTTTCTGGGTTCCTTTGCATAAGCCATATTAAAGTGTAATGGGAGTTCTCAAACTTGCCTTCTAAAAAGGCAAATTCACTCAATTTGAATAAACTAATGGCTAGACTGTAAATTGACAAATGAAACAGGAATTTAGCTTTGGAGATTTGAGGGATAATGGCTCATATTGACATGAAAAGGACTAATTTATAACAGAAACAATTCCTTTTCCAAACCTCATTTGTGTAAACCTGTAGTGTCGCATGCTTTTAAGTGTCTGTATCCATTCCTAATACATATTTGAAATTCAGCTTGCTTAAGACTTCTTGTTTACAAAGATAAAAACATGTTAAATGCTTCTGTGCTTCAGAATTCTGTCATTTATCATTCTGAATACACGAAAATCCCTTACACATTCTCTAAGCAGTCACTCTGAAGGTGAATAAAATTGTGATTCTGTTTCCTTATTGTTCAGGGACAGAAGAGACTACTCTATAAATGCTTTGGTTTATGAAAACTCCTAGGCATCTTAACATTCTGACTCATACCCTTCACCAAACTTCTTCCCATATTATAGTTGCTTTCCTGAAGCAAGCACACACTGCTGCTGAGTGTCAGAAGTATTTGGAGAAAAGAAATGGATATGTGTCTGTATTAAACATGTATAGACTTTTCTTCTTGTCATTGTTCCCTAAACAATACGGTATAGCAACTACCATATAACTACAGTAGACCCTCCGTAATTAACCACTTCCTGAAGTTGACCTAATTTCGTAGACCAGACATGCACCACATGTACGTGTCAGTACAGTAGCCCTAGTTCCATATATTGAGCATCTTGTTACGGTCCCGTGGGTGGTCAGCTCACAGAGATTCTACTGTATTTACATAGCATTTACCAGCATTTATTATATTGTAATAGATATTATAAGTAATCTAAAGGTGAGTTAAGGTATACAGGAAGATGTGTATAGGTTATACATAAATACTAAGCCATTTTATATAAAGAGCTTGAGCACCTGCAGATTTTAGTATCCAAGGAGGGTCCTGGAACTCTCGGATACTAAGAGACAACTGTACTTAAATGAAAAGGCATCAGGCTTCAAAATAGAGAACTTAGGCAGCTATTAGAAAATTGCATTAATGTAAACACTTGTATTTTAATGGTACTGTTTGGTCACTTTTTAAACTTTTGGCATCTGTATTGATTGTAGTCTTTTCCTTTCTGGTATATAAGAACATTTATGCATGTGTACCCTAGAATTTTGCCCCCATGTAGAAGTAAAATTGCCAGATGATGGATGGCCTATGAACCCTGGTTAACCCTAAACATAGGGAAACGTCCAGAGAACATCTCACATAATGAGGTGGAACCAAACAATTTTAAGAAAGTTCTTTTCTTAGAGAGAGGCACCTCTGCTATCAGACACTTTCTAATATAACTGTTTAACGTATACTACTTTTGGGGGGGGGGGCTGGGCTGGGTTTGAACGTGCCACCTCCAGTATATGGGGCCAGCACCCTACTCCTTTGAGCCACAGGCGCTGGCCTAATGTTATACTACTTTAAAACTAAGTTTATATTTTCAATTCTTTTTCAGGTAGGCGTGAAAGTCGGTGTTCGAACTAGAGGGTGTAATGGTCTTTCTTACACCCTAGAATATACAAAAACAAAAGGAGATTCTGATGAAGAAGTTGTTCAAGACGGTGAGATTTTCCTTTCCTTTGTTTTTTCTTTCTTCTTGTTTTCTAGCCACCCCCATGTGAGGAAAGATGGTGAATTTTTAACACACTTTTTCTGGGCACTTTGTTTTGCCTAAAAGTTTTAGTCTTACACACTGTGAGGTAAAGAGTAATAATAATGGTAGGAATAATGTTAATTGTTGTGAGGAGTGCATCCTTGGATGATTTCATGTTGTGTACACATGACAGAGTAGACAGAGTAGTCATATAAACCTAGAGGATGTGGCCTTTCCTCACCTGTGTAAGCATTTTGCTCCTGGCCTACAGTCCTGCACAGCATGTGATGTGCTGAGTCCTGTAGGCAGTTTCACCGCCATGATAAGTAAGTGTGTATCTAAACATAGAAAAGGGACAGTAAAATATAAAAATGGTATGCCTACAGAGGGCATTTACCGCGTGAATGGCATTCAAAGGACTTGAAGTTGCTCTGGGTAATCCATCGAGTGAGTGGTGAGTGACTGTGAAGGTGTAGGACATTACTGTGCAGTCCTGTAGATTACATAAACACTGTACCCTTAGGTTGCACTAAGTTTATTTTAAAATGTTGCTTTTTTTCAAAAATAACTGGCTTACTGTAACTTTTTTACTTTATGAACTCTTAAACTTACGTAGTTTTTTGACTCTTAATAACACTTAGTATAAAACACAAACTTATTATTTTCTTATCGTTATTTATAAGCTTTTTTCCATGTAAAAATTTTTTTTATAATCCTGTTTATTACAAACTAAAATGCAAACACACACATTAGCCTAGGCCTACACAAGGTAAGGATTATCAGTATCACTGCCTTCTGCCTTTGCATCTTGTCCCACTGGAAGGTCTCCAGGGACAATAACTCACATAGAGCTCTCTAAGTAGAAGGAGTAGATGCTTATTAAAGATGATAAAAATTTTAATACTGTAAATACATAAACTAGTAACATAGTTATTGTCATTATCAAGCATTATGTACTGTACATAATTTTATCTGCTAGACTTTTCTGTGGCAGTGCAGTTAGGTTTCTTTGCCCCAGCATCTCCACAAACATGTGAGTAATATATTGTACTATGATGTTACCACAGCTGCATCAAGAGGTGGGTAAGAATGTTTCAGCTCCATTATAATCTTATGAGACCACCATTATATGTGTGGTCCATCATTGATCAAAATGTCATTCTGCATATTATAACTGTATTCTAAAATCTGAAATTCAGAAGATTTCTGGTCCTAAGCTGCAATATCAACTCATGTTTTGAGGAATTCTGTATTTCCAAATTTTATTAAAAATGTTAATTTTTAGGCTGGGCGTGGTGGCCCACACCTGTAACCCTAGCACTCTGAGAAGCGTAGGTGGGAGGATCCCTTGAGCTCAGGAGTTTTCTGTTTGCTTCTACCCTCTCCTGCCATGAGATAATCTGATAAAACTTGTCTAAAACAAGGTAGATGATGCTAGAGTGTTGGAAGAACTTGAACGTCCATGAGTTTTGCAGTGTTGGTTTTGTGTGCTGAGAGTATGCTCTTTGCTACCTTGCGGCCTTTCCCTACATGGGAGAATTAGGCCTGGATTCTTAAGTGTGCTTTCATCTTGTTAAACTGAAATTGCTAACCACTAAAAACATTTTTTAAATATATATCTAAATTGTTATTTTAAAAATCAACTCATAAACCTTATGGTTTTCATCTAAAAGAAAAGGAGATTTAATAATTCTATATAGTTTATATTTGGGTAATGAGTGAATTTCTTTTCTTTTTTTTTTTTGCAGTTTTTTTTTTTTTTCTGGCCTATAACTCAAACAGACCTAATATTATACTGATTGGTCATCATTGTCTTCTTTTTCTTTCTTTCTTTTTTTTTTTAAAGGCAGACTCCACTCTGTCGCCTTGGGTAGAGTGCCATGGCATCATCCTACCTCACAGCAACCTCAAACTCTTGGGCTCAAGCAATCCTCTTGCCTCAGCCTCCCAAATAGCTGGGAGTACAGGCATGAGCCACCGTGCCTGGCTAGTTTTTCTATTTTTAGTAGAAACAGGAGTCTCACTCTTGCTCAGGCTGGTCTCGAACTCCTGAGCTCAAGCAATCCACCTTCCTTGGCCTCCAGTGCTAGGATTACAGATGTGAGCTACCGCACCCAGCCAATTAGTCTTCTTAAAATAACCCTATTCTATCATGGTCATTTATATCTCTTAAGTTTACCATTGTATTGAGTGCATAGATGTTGTTGCAGGTTTTCACAAATGTTATTGACTCCATCTTTACAAAATTGTCACTGAGAATATGCGCATATTCCTCATATTGTAAATGAGACAAATGAGTGAAGTATAGTGAAAGGCACATTTTAGTTTTATACAGAATTGTGGAATTTATGTGTGTAAACTGTCTACCCTAATGTAATTATCTTTGACATAGTGCGGGACAGAGAAGGCAGACAGGAAACTGAGTTCAATCCCTTAAGGAAATAATGGAATATATTCAGTATTTTGACTTTGGTAGCTACTATTTAAAATTCACTTGTACCCACGAATGGATTAATAAATTGTGGTGTATGTACACCATGGAATATTATGCAGCCTTAAAGAAAGATGGAGACTTTACCTCTTACATGTTTACATAGATGGAGCTGGAACATGTTCTTCTTAGCAAAGTATCTCAAGAATGGAAGAAAAAGTATCCAGTGTATTCAGCCCTACTATGAAACCAATGTATAGGTTTCTTATGAAAGCTATAACCCAATTATAGCCCAAGAAGAAGGGGAAAGAGGAGAAGAAGGGGAGGGGAGGAAAGAGGATGGGTGGAGGGAGGGTAATTGGTGGGACCACACCTACGGTGCATCTTACAAGGGTACATGTGAAATTTACTAGGTATAGAATATTAATGTCTTAACACATAACTAAGAAAATGCTGTGAAGGCTATGTTAACCAGTTTGATGAAAATATTTCAAATTGTATATAAAACCAGCACATTGTACCCTGTGATTACATTAACGTCCCAGCTGTGATTTTTTTTTTTTTTGGAGACAGAGCCTCAAGCTGTCACCCTGGGTAGAGTGCTGTGGCATCACAGCTCACAGCAATCTCCAACTCCTGGGCTCAAGTGATTCTCCTGCCTCAGCCTCCCTGCCACAACACCTGGCTATTTTTTGGTTGCAGCCAACATTGTTTGGCTGGCCTGGGCTGGATTCAAACCCGCCAGCTCAGGTGTATGTGGCTGGCACCTTAGCTGCTTGAGGCACAGGTGCCGAGCCCACAGCTATGATTTAATAAAAAAAAATAAATAAATAAAGTTTACTTCTGCTTTGAATCAGCAGGTTCCAAAAGGCTTTATATGACACATGTTTTGTTTTCCCCAAGGAGTGAGAGTATTCATTGAAAAGAAAGCACAGCTAACACTTCTGGGAACAGAAATGGACTATGTGGAAGACAAGTTATCCAGTGAGTTTGTCTTTAATAACCCAAACATCAAAGGAACTTGTGGCTGTGGGGAAAGCTTTAATATCTGAAACCTGAGGACTCCTTTGGCTATTAGCTCCAGCAACACTCATGGATGCCTTGGGGCTTACTGAAGAAATCATGTGACTGTCACCTGCTCAATGTGTGGCTGCCTTGTAAGGAAAATAAAGTGATGCATTTTGAAAATGAAGCTAGTGTGTTAGATTCAGGAAGAAGTGATATTTGGATTCTCCGTAGGGGATAAAAGATGAAATGCCATTTCTCTCTTTGGATTATTTTTCTTTTGTGGTAAAGAAAGAAGTCCTACCCTGCACTTAACTCTTTCTTGTACCCTTTTTTTTAGAGTCACTTTTATTGGATTTGGCCTTCCTGGGCACCCATCAGTCTGTTCATGAAATGGACTGAATGGCTTGAATGTGCATCTCCCCGCATTTTTCCCAATTAAATTGGTGTCTCCTAAAATTCAGAAATAGGAAGTCCTGTCTGCTGGTAGTAGCGTGGTGGTACATTATTTTTTCACCCTATTTTGCATAACCTGTTTACATTTTTATCAAAAATTTCATTGTTGGGTGTAAATTTGCATGCCCTTTAACAGTACAGACAAAGTATTTTCTTGAACTGTAGTGATGGTAGCAAATACTTCATCCATTTGTTTCTAAATCCATTTTATTTGCCACCCTAAATGTCCACACCAAATGAGATCTCGGGCTGACTTTGACTCTTTTAGTTGAAAAGTCTCTCAAAAGCCATTTAGCCCATCCCACTCAGTTCTGTACATGAGGACACCAGTGGGCTTTTGTCTACCCTCAGGGGTGAGTGGGAACTCCACCACTTTCCCCGTCCTAGTGCCGTCCCCTCTGAGACAGTCTGTTAAGGTAAACGGTGATCTGGCTTTTTTTTTCTGGTCAACATACGGATAGAATTTCTTTTTAATTTGATGAAGATCATATTAGTTTTATTTTGAGAAGAATCTTATTTTAAAACTCTTTTATGTGAATTACCATCTTGTTTCTTTAAACTTTGAAACTGGTTTATACTACCAGGGAAGACATTGAGGCAACCCAGAATTACTGGGAATGTAGTCATAATTGTGAAGAAAAACCTAGGGGTGTTTTCTTAAAATTCCCAATATGCGCACACTTTCTGGTTCCTCAGTCCAATTGGTGAAGTTTTTAAACAATATTTTAGCCTAACATTTTTGTCATCAACATTTCTTTTGAAAGTGCTCCTTTTGACACTTAATTATTGATTTTCCTGAGTTTGACATATTAAATATTCTGTGAGATGACATGTATATTTCTCCTGAAAGCTGATTCTCACGAATTTGAGTAGCTGAGTTCTTTTGTTTGTTTTTATTTACTAAAATACCTGGCACACAATGCACCAAAACCTAGAGTGGTAGTTTTATGTAAATGCTCATGACTTTGTATCATTAATATAATTGTTGATCCACTTATAATTTGTGCAATACTGTATGTATGTAGAGAGTTATGAATAAAAAAATAAGTGGTCTCTTTGTGATTATAAAATTGCTTTTCTTGTTGAGGGAAGGGGTTGGGATAGTAGCTCCTGAAGCTACTGATGAATAACTGCTGGACTTTCTGCCCAGCTGTCATGCTTCTAGGCATCTTCTCTGCCTGACTTTGCTGTTGCCAGAGTCTTAGCTGCTGTTCTATGCAGCCCTGCCCTGGAGAGACCATGTTGGACAGCTCTGGTCTCCCTGGTGTCCTTAGACTCGCTGTCTTCCCTTGGGACCGTGAAGGAAGCACCAACCAAGCTGCTCCCTAAAGAGGAGAGAACATTATGCCCACCAAGAATGCTTTGTCTCCACGCTTTATCCTCCCCTCTCCCAGGAAGGTTCTTAGCAGCTCATGTCAGGCACAGCCATGAGTGCCTGCTTTCCACTGGTCATCAGAGACAAGAGGTCCTGACCTGGATGGAGGTCTTGGAGTTGAGAGAGGAGACACACCAGTGTCAGCAGGGCAAGTGTTGTGCATACTTGCTTCACACTGGAGCTGTTCGAAGTTATATCATCTTCACAACAATCCAGGAAAGTAAGTGTGATAACTGTCTTTTTCTTAAATGAAAAACCAGAGCACACCTTGAATAAACATTTCCCTAAGGTGACAACACACTAAGTGGCTGAGTCAGAGCCACACCCTTGCCCTGCTACAGAGGCTATGCTCTAGCAGTTGGGCCACTCTTCTACCTGCTAAGATAAGAACTGATGGGGTATGCATCTTTAAGGTGTCCTGGAGGCCGTGGCCCCTGAATAAACAGTACTATAGAGGGGTGAAAAAATAGGGAAACCTGCAGAATGAGGCTCAGAGGACAAGGAAGAGCCCCTAGGCATTTGGGCTTTCTAGAGGTTCTGTAGGGGTTGGGGCTGCTAAAAGGATTTACAAGTGAGTCCCCAGAAAACAATCCCATTTGGAAAGTCAGCATGGCACTGGGGTGTGGAGTAGGGAGATGATGAGGGTGGGAGGAAGATGTTGCAAAGCCCCAAATAAGATGTGAGGATGGACCAGTATGAGGAAGGCTGAGGGGGCAGAATGAGCCAGACTTCGTTAACAGTTCAGCCACTATTTTGTGGCTCTTGGCTTCTTTGTACAGGCAATACTTGTATCATTCTTTGGTTTTGGTTTGCTTTCTATCTCTTGCACACTATTGAAAGGTTCTTGAAGACAGGAACACGGTGCCTCCTCTTTGTTCATTTAGCACCTGGCACCATCAGCCATGTCATGCAAGCCTCAATCCTAACAAGGACAGTTCGGCCCTGCCACACATTCGTCTACACTCTGCTGACCATCATTTGACAGTGCCCTTGGGCGACAGTAGGCCTGCAGATGCTGTGGTAGGAGCCTCCTGCAGTGGCCAGTCTCTTGCTTTATATGATCTCAGTTAAAAGCCCACTTTTCCATATCAGGATGCTAAATTGAATAGCTCAGGCCACTGTGTGGTTAAAAATACCCTTAAAGAATTCCAGAAGATGGAGACCTGCTGTGCCGCATTGTCACAGAGCACCTTTTGGACTGCTATCACCAGGCCCACAAGAATGACTTTTTTCTCAAACAGGAAAGGGGGGTAGGGAGTTGGGAAAAAACCTCCAGGACCAGATGTCCTAAGACTTCCAGTGTTTCCTAGGCTTTGTTGTGCAGAAAATACCTCAAAAAAGTAGCCTTTTGTGGCATGTTTTGACACCTGAGAGATCAGGAAAGAGAAAAACCTATGGTGTTACACTGAGCTGTGAGCACCATCAGGGTCTCATCTGCGCCTCAGGGTAGACGTGACTTGGGTCAGAGATAGCAAGCAGCTCAGAGTAAAGCCCAGTACACCCAGTGCAGCTCACCTCAGGTCAGTGTGGTCTGCAAGGCTAGAAAGGTGCAGGTTTGAGGGTGAAATATATCTGGATTCAAATGATGGTTTCTGTTTTGTAGCCATGTGACCTGGAACAGGTTAGGTCATTTCTCTGAGCTCACTTCAGCCCTTTTTTTTGTTTGTTTGTTTGAGACAGAGTCTCACTTTGTCACCCTGCGTAGAGTGCTGTGACATCATAACTCATAGTAACCTCAGGAGCAAGCAATCCTCTTGCCTCAGCCTCCTGAGTAGCTGGGACTACAGGTGCCCACTACAATGCCCAGCTATTTTTTTAAGACCCAGAGTCTCGTTCTTCCTCAGGCTGATCTCAGACTCCTAAACTCAGGCAATTCACCTTGGCCTCATAGAGTGCTAGGATTACAGGCATGAGCCACCACACCCAGCCCATTTCAGCCCGTTTTGAGAACACATGTAGTAAGAATAAGATGGCGTAGATAGGGCTGAGATGACACAGCCGAGATGTCAGTTTAGGTCCCATGTCTCCTTCACTCTTGTTGTTTTGTAAATTCAGTTTTAACTTAAAAGGTGCGTATTTTGAGTAGTTTAGGATTGACTCAGGAGTAAATTTTGAATTGGAATGTTGTTTTGGGTCATGGGTTATGCTGATTTTAGTTGTTTAAGATAAATATTAACATATATTTTACTCTAGACATTCATGTGTAAAACTGTGACTTGAGAAATGGAAGAACAGACCAGTCTTGGAAAGGTTATTCTCACTGCCTCAGCCTCCCACATGGCTGGGACTCGAGGCATGTGCCACCATCCTGGGTTAGCAATTCTTGTGTATAGTTGGGTGATAATAAATACGTTGAAGTTATTGTGCAGCCCTCACCACCATTCATCTCCAGAACTTTTTTTATCTTCCCAAACTGAAACTCTGACATAATTTGCTAAAAATGAGCGAAACAGGGAAGATTGGTGACGGTCCTTTAGAAAGCACAGAAGGCTGTAACGCAGGCAGAGGCTGCCCTCAAGCGTGTGAGCTGCTCATCATTAGGGCCCTCAAGTGGAGACTGGATGAATTTATCAGATATTTTAGAAGAGATTTATGCATAATAAAGGACAGGAATACAAATTTTCCCACGCCTCCCCACTTGAGAATCTGTAATTCTTTGAAATTTTCATTTTAAAAATTCAAACAATAGGTCTTTTTCTCCTCATAGAGAAAAATAATAAGCACAATATCAGGTCTGAATTACACCAAATGGTTAAATAGACTATGCACCTATAGTGCACCTATATGCACCTATCACTCTGCAGGCCATGCCTGTCTCACCATGCACGTGTCTGCAATCATTCACGGTTTTGTTCTTTCTGAGACAAAGTCTAGCTCTGTTGCCTGGGCTAGAGTACAGTAGTGTATAAGTAATCATAGCTTACTGCAATCATAAACTCCTGGGCTCCAGTAATCCTCCTGTCTCAGGCTTCCAAGTAACTGGGACTATAGGTATGGTCTGACATACCAGGCTAATTTTTTTTTTTTAAATAAGAGTCTCACTGTGTGGCATCACAGCTCACAACAACCTCAAACTCTTGGGCTCAAGCAATTCTCTTGCCTCAGCCTCCCAAGTAGCTGGGACTACAGATGCTTACCACAACACCTGGCTTTTTTTTGTTGTTGTACTTGTTGTTTAGCAGGCCTGGGCCAGGTTTGAACCTGCCAGCCCCTATGTATGTGGCTGGCACCGTAACTACTGAGCTGTGGGTGCTGAGCCTTTTTTCTTTTCTTTTCTTTTTTTTTTTTGGTTTGGTAGAGATAGGGTCTCACTATATTTCTCAGGCTGGTCTTGAAATTCTTTTTTTTTT